TTTATTCACATTGGACTATTGTTGCTTTGGCTGTGGTCATTTATTTATTTGACAATCTAAGGGGAAAGAGGTCAGTGCCCCTGGCTAAATAGTTCGGTATTGCATGTGTTAAAAATTCTTGCAGCGCACCAGTTGCAGGCTTATGATATTGAGGCTTAACATAAAGAATGTAAAGAATAAACACTGATGGCCCTGGCCGGTTTGGTTCAGCGGTTAGAGCGTTGGCCTGCGGTCCAGAGAGACCCGGGTTCGGTTCCCGCTAAGGGCATGTACCTCGGTTGCAGTTTGTCCCCGGTCCTGGTCGGTTGTGCGGGTGGCAGCCACTCGATGTGTCCCTTTCACATCGATGTCTCTCTCTCTCTCTGTTCCTCTCTCTCCCTCCCACTCTACCTGAACAAAAAATGGAAAAATGTCCTCGGGTGAGGATAAAAAAAAAAAAAAAAAGAATAAACACTGATGGTTTCTTATCAATGAACTTGCTCTTCCAGGGTGAAACCTAAGGTAGAAAACAATTCACATCTTACCAATACCTCTTTATAGGGGCAGAGTGTTTTCCTTATCCAGGTGCATTTAGTCAGGAAAGCTGATACGGATCCCAGTACCGCTGGGCAACGCTACAGAAACAGAGTTCAAGGGTCATGGGTATGAGTTAAACAAGGAATTAATAATATCTGATGTTGCCCAGCCCGAGTGGCTCAGTGCACTGAGTGTCGTCCCATGCACTGAGAGGTCCCACTTCAATTTCAGGTCAGGGCACATGCCCAGGTTGCAGCCCGATCCCCAGTAGGGGGCGTGCAGGAGGCAGCCAAAGGATGTTTCTCTTTCACACTAATGTTTCTATCTCTCTCTCCCTTCCTCTCTCTCTAAAAAAGAAAAAAATTAAAAAATAATAATATCTGAAGTTTTGTTAGCAATTTTGCATCTATAAAATCCTATCATTGTTATAAGCTGGGCAGGACACGTATTAATATGGATAAGAAAACCGAGGCTGCAAGTGATAAGATCCAGGCTGGAAGCAGGCTTCAGGCCTCTGGCTAAGCGCATTTTCCCACTACACAGGCTGCCCCCGTTAGCATCCTTTAGAATCCTTTTAGATTCAAAACAACACTTTATCTCTGCCCCAACTCTTCCCACACCTGCTCTTCTCTAGGCTGCCCTGTCATCTGTTTACCTAAATACTTTACCATTATGAAGAGCATATTTATTTTTACTAATCCTCACCTGTGGATATTTTTTCCATTGATTTTTTTTAGAGAGAGTGGAAGGGAGAGAGAGAAAGAGAGACAGAGAAACATCAATGTGAGAAGAGACATCGATTGGTTGCCTCTTGCATGTGCCCTGACTGGGGCCAGGATTGCAACCCAGGTATGTGCCCTTGAACAGCAATAGAACCCTTGACTCTTTGGTTCATGGGACGATGCTTTAACCACTTAGCAACACTGCCCAGGGCAGGAGCTTTTATATATATATATATATATATATATATATATATATATATATATATTTTTTTTTATCCTCACCCGAGGACATTTTTTCATTATTTGTTCAGATAGAGCGGGAGGGAGAGAGAGGAAGAGAGGAAGAGAGAGAAACATCGATGTGTAAAAGGGACACATCGAGTGGCTGCCACCCACATGACCCAACCAGGGCCGGGGACAAACTGCAACCGAGGTACATGCCCTTAGTGGGAACCGAACCTGGGTCTCTCTGGACCGCAGGCCGACGCTCTAACCGCTGAGCCAAACCGGCCAGGGCGAAGAGCTTTTATATTTTTAAAAAGAGATAATAGTCCTGGCCTGTGTGGCTTAGTTGGTTGGGCATCCTCCCATGCACCAGAAGGTTGCTGGTTCTATTCCAGGTCAGGGCACATTCCCAGGTTGCAGGCTCCATCCCTGGTGGGGGTGTGCAGGAGGCAGCCAAGCAACATCAATGTTTCTCTCTTTCTCTCCCATAATTCAGTCAGTCTTCTCTTGGTGGACAGGTTAAAATATCTTGTGTCTATTACAAATAATATTGCATTGAATAAACTTTTACAGACATCATTTTCCACAGGTGCAGATGTATCTATAGGACCCATCCCTACATGTGGAATTGAATTGCCATGTCAAATAGTATGTGTGTTTACAAATTTGGTAGGTATGATAATAATAATAATAATATTTATGGAGCTCTCACTGTAGAAATGTTTTGTGCAGGTTACTTTTAGGTTAAAGCAAACATAAATAAGACTTCAACTCTTCTATCAGGACAAGATATAAAAATAACTAATTTACAAGATAGATGGTGTCATTTGGGTCAGAGTTAAATGGAGCTAGGTTATAAACTCCATAAAAAGGTGGGGACTGTGCCTTCTTGTCATTTTTTATCTTCAGTGACAAGCACAAGTCCCAGAACTTAGTAGATGTTCAATAAATATTTGGACTAATTAGTGAATGAGTTGGTGAATTCAGAGGATAAGTTTAGAGAGTGATCAACAAGTCTTTGTTGAATGAATCAATGTACGATTCAGAGAGCGAAGGCATTCAGCTGGGGTGATCAGTAACGCCTTCATAAAAGAGGTGGTGACAGCTATGTTTCATATATGACTCTGAGAAAAAGAAATCACATCAAAATTTAAGTTTCTTCATGGTTATAACTTCCTTGTGCCACTTTTTAATTTTCTCAGAATTTCTATTTATCTTTCTTTTTATTGATCAGAAGAGATATAATTTCAACACCCCAGGAGTAGTATGTGGTTATACTTCTGGGTTATGAATCATATAGTTTCTGTAACTCTTAAAGAGACTCTTCAAGAACTCTTCTGGCTTTCAGTTATAATTTGAACTGATTGTGTTCCAGTTATACTGCTATTATACTGAGGTTTCTTTTCATCACACAGCTGGGTTGGTTCCAGTGTTTCTTATAGTCAATGATTCCTCTTTCTGAGTTTTCCACTTTGCTGTAGTAATTTTTCCCAAAAAAGTATATGTTCAACTTTTAGAGTGCTAGCATGTCCAAAAATATCTTTACTTTGCTTTTATATGTGTTTTTTTTTTACTGGTTATAGAATTCCAGATTTGAAATTATTTTCTCTAGAATTTTGAAAACATTATTTTTGCAATCTGTGTTATAGATGAAAAGATGCTTACTCATTTCTTTCCTCTTTATTCTTTGAATTAAGAAATGTCACCAGACTGTGTGTGTGTGTGTGTGAGAGAGATAATTATTTCAAGTGAGTATTTCAATCCAAAAATTTGAATCTTCTGCTCAAGGACATTCTCTCTACATCTTTGTTCATCATTCTTATCCCCCCCACACCCAGCCCCCACCCCCTTCTGGAAGTCCCACTTGACAAATATCGAATCTCCTGGATCTGTCCTGACAATTTCCTCCCCGCACTGTCCATCTCCCAGTGGACACAGGGTGACTCGGGGGGTGTGCTTGAAAGCCTCCTCCCCGGCCTGCACTCAGAGATGCCTAGTCAGGCCTCTCACACAGGAAGAGGCCAATTGTAGGAAAAAACCTATACTCATGGCAGCTATTTAAAATCAACTTGGTTTCCTGATTAAAACCCTTCAGTTCCAGGGAGAAAGTGTCAAGAGGCGAGGCTAGATAACAAAAAGACTGTGCTAGAGAGTGCGGGGGTTTTCCATATCTGGTTCTCCTCGCCTCCCTGGGCTCACAGGGGAATTATATTTCCTTGCTAGACAAAAGCCAATTTTGAGGAGTAATTACATCTTTTAACCTTTGTAAATATGTTTACTAATGAGTTGAGATTCCTACTCTGATAAACACCAAAAGTAAAAAAACAAGTACATAGGCTATAGGCTCATCCTTCTTATTGAGAAACTTGCTTTCAGATTTGAGTTCTAAAAACCAGAAGGTTAGATTTCTCATTACTTTTATCTCTTTGCTTTTAATCAATATTACATTTTATGATATTTTTTTATTTCATTTTATTTTTATGGTAACTCTCGACCATGCAACTGATGCTAATTTTCCATTTATGGTAGTGACATAAAGTCTCCTTTTAAAATAATTATGTTTACATGTAAAAAATAGTGTATTTGAAGAAAAACACTGAAATAATTTTACAGGTGATGCATGGGTATGTAAAAAATTAAGAAGTTGGTACTAGAATGACTGGAGTTTGGGAAATATAGCTTTATTCCTACCAAAAATATCTCAAAATCACTTAAAAACATCAATGTACCTTGCTTGAGTATTTCTACTTTGAATATAAGCTTTGGTCGTACTTATTAATACAGCAAATTCTAAGCTCTGTGCTGGGCAACTGCTTTACATTCCACCCACCCATACATTGGTGCCAGATAGACACTGAGCAATTATTGATAGTAAGTTGTTCCATGTTTCCTCTATTGGTTGCATTCTTTTGCTGGCGTGTGTGTGCACGCACACGCGCAAAAGAAGGTTTTTCTTTTGAAAATATTTTCAGATACTTTCAATTACACTTAAACTCCAGAATAAATAGCTGCAGGAAGAGGTTTTTCTTCTTCTTTTTCTAAAGCACACCAAGAAAGAGATGCAAGGCCATCCGAGTTTAGAGCTTTCAGAGGGCAGTACACCAGCTGAGGAGAGATGGTTCCACTCAGCTATCAGTCTTAATTCTTGGGCAGAGGATCTCAAGGTTTTTCTCTCCATCCCCTGCCACTCCTTGGGGGAGAGGGAAGATTCGATTTGCATACTGGCACAAAATACAATGGTGATCTATGATTATAATTCATATAGCCAATTTCATGTACTTTTGCCAATTCTATCATGTCTCCAACGGTTCCAAGAAGTGTCCTCTTCTGTAAATTGGGAGGCGATCCCAGGATCTGGCCTCCCAGGCAGGGCCTGCTCAGGAAACCGCAGAGGCCATTCAGGGTTGGCTCCTGCCAACAGGCCGCCGACCCTTATCGCCTACTTAAGAGAGGACACCACCCCCTCTCCCAGCGCGCACCTCCCCGCAGGCGCGCTCCCGGCGCTCTGACCCTTGGCCGAGCCCGCCCGCCCGCCCGGCGAACAGGGGAGCAGGACCACCTTCCTTAGGTGTCCCTGCTCCATCAGTGCCGAGGCGGGACGCGCGCCCGTTTTCAGCGGCTCGCCTTCCCACGGTAGGATACGCGGACATGGGGTCCAGAACCCCAGAACTCCGATCCGAGAGCCAGGACGGTGTACCCCGCCAGGGATCCAGGCGGGAGCCAGCCGAACCGCGCTCCTTAAGCAGCTGCTCCGCCGAGGGGCGGAGAATATGACTATGAAGTGCGAGCTCCTCCTCACGCTATGGATGGGCGTCGTGTTTCATATTCACGACGCTTCGCGATTCTGCAGGAGGCTTCTAACTGCTCCGGAGACGAGGGGCCAGGCTTTGAGGGGCCAAGCCTGCTCGGATCGGCTGACTCTGGAGGAAGGTGCCTTCGACTGGCTGGTGTAAGGACGGCGCTGTCTACGATTTGCGCGGGAGATTCGAATACCCACTTTCTTTGTGGACGAGGACTCGGTGAGCGTTTCCAATCCGCGTTCCCCCCACTGTGTATTTCCTTCAGATGTACACATTGGTACTTTACAGTACTGCACCCATAAAGAATATATTCTGAGCACTGTGCTGCTGTTAGTTTGGAAGCTCCAATACGCTCGTTTTATAGATGGAGAAACTACTCCCGACTCCCAGCTCTGCGCCCAGCCACCGCCCGGGGTTGGACACAGCCACCCGGAGGGGCCAGGCTCGGGCACTGGGTCCGGGCACCTCCTCCCACCTCCAACCCCTTTAACCCTCCCGGTCGTGACAACCCTAGAAACCTCTCACTTCTCCTCGCAGCGCCTGCTCTGTGGCTTGGTGGCCCTGGGCCTGCCGCGGCTGCGAGGACCTTGAGGCATCGTCCATCCCAACCGCACCGTACACCTGGGGGTCCGAGACCCAGCGGGGGCAGCACGGCCCGAGGTAACCCAGCCCGCGGCCGGGCTATGGCTAGTGGGTCTCCTGACTCCCAGCTTGGGCTTTTGGCCGCTCTCTCCTGCCTGGTGTCCCGCATCTTAGTGACAGGTTGAGATGGCAGAGCATCTGGCTCCACCGCTCCCAGGTCACATCCCGGTATCTTGTGCGCTGGGAACTGTGGAATTCGCGCCTGCGCAGGGCCTTCCGGAGAAGCTGCTTCGAGGTGGACCCCGCCCCTTTGGCGACACGTCTCTGGTTGCCATGGAGACCGCGTTGTTTACAGAGCCGGGCGTTCCAGTTGTGATTAGGAGGCTCTCATCCCCAATTGGTGTCGTTGTTCTCTGTAGCTCTGAGGTAAGTACATCCCGGCCCCACACAATCAACCCTTATCTGCAGCCCTCAGCCCTACTCAAAGTCTTGTGCCCGTTGGGTTCAGCCCTAATTTAGGTCTAACTGCAATTTCTCCTGAGGCTACTCTGATTTATCCAGGAGTCGGGTTAAATTTGAGCGCCATGCTCAGACAAATTTGGGAGAGGCTGCAGGAGGGACTGAACTACAAAGAAATGGGGAGACTGCATATTGTCTGCTGGGGCAGGGTCTCCTGGGGTGCTCAGCCTCGCCAGGATCTGACCAGGTTCTGTTCTTGCTTGTTTGAAGGGCTTCAGAGATCCATTCACCCCCTAAGGGTAGGCGCGCAGATTTTTGGGTAGTGGTGGGGGTGGGGCAGGCCTGTCTGAGGAATGCAGTTCTCAGTCAACCAGAGCTGTGTGCAGGTGAGGGGGGGACATGTTAGCCGTTCTGTTGCTGTGGCTTCTGCCTGCTGCCTTCTCATGGGTTCCCCTTCCTGTTCTCTCCTTTTCTTCGTCCTGGGAAGTTTTAAAATTCTCGTATCTGCTATATAGGCTCAAATACCCAGTTGCCAGTTTACAGTTAGTTAAATTTGTTCAATTTTAAAGAAAACATGTCTGGGTTCAAATCTTTGTTAGTATCTAGAAAAACTGAACACTATGCTATGACACAGCAATCGTAATGAGTCATAAATATGCATGGATGTGTTCACCAAAAGACATGTATGAGAATCTTCATAGCATTTTCATTATAGACCTCAAACTTGAAACAACCCAAATACCCATAAATAGTAGAAAAGACAGGTACATTTTGGTATATTTATACAATGGTGTACCATGCAGCAATGAGAATGAAGAAACTACAACTATCTAACAATACAAATGAATCTTACCAACATAATGTTGAGTAAAAGAAGTCAGATGCAAAGAGTACCTACTATATGATTTCATTTATATGAAGTTCAAAAACAACAAAATTAATTAATAGTGTTAAAAGTCAGGATAGTGGTTACCCTGGGGAAGGGGGTGGAGAATAGTGACTGGAAAGAGGCATGAGGTGCTGGTAAGGCTTATTTCTTGATTTGGGTGCTGGCTACACAGATGTGTTCATTCTGTGTACAGATTATGATTTATGTGCTTTTTGATATGCACACCACATAATACAAACTGACACTTAAAAAAGGACAAATTGCTTTCAGTTAATCTAAAAGAGGTCTGCCTTTGATCAAATGGCCAAACTACTGCAACCTCCACCCAAGTTCCTGCCCTTGGAGTGGCACATTGCTAACAAGAGCCAGTACCACAAGGCGGAGGCCCAGAGGTCCCGGTCCGAACGCCTGGTGGCAGAAAGCCAGAGGCTTGTGGATGAAATTGAAAAGACCACAAGAAAAGCTCAAAGTGATGTGAACAAGAAACTAGGTAAGACAATGCACTTGGTGTACTGTGGACATGTTTTGATGAAAGTGTTCAGGTTTAGCTATACTGTCATTTGCATTTCATGTTCAGGAGTAGCAATGTATTATCTTGAGATATTAGGGAAAAACATGTATATTCTCTGGGTTCTATGTTTTTCACTGCCCCAAGATAGAGACATGGTAACCCAGTCTGATTTCCAGCCATCCGTCGTCAATGATTTATTCATTTATTGATTTGATATACATTAAGTGAGCATCTAAGAGCATCTATAGACTAAGTACTGGGAATGTCACACGGTATGATCAGAGTCTCTACTCTTTAAGGGCTCCTGGCTTGAGGAGGAGAAAGATACAAACATTAAAATAATCAGAATATAGCCAGATAGGTGATAGGGTAAGGGATACAGAAGTAGAACTGGGAAAGACTTCCTAGAGAAACATTGAGCTGATTCTTAGAGAAGTCATTTTCCCTTGGCAATTCCATTCTTCAAAACACTATTTAAAGGGCAGTGCCCTTAAATAAATAAAACAAAAACTTCCCAAATTCTAAAAAAATTGATAAACCAGAGGTCACAAACTCAAGTGTCCATAAGGACTAAGCAAGAAGCGTGGGGTTGATAAGACCCCTTATGGTAATAGGAAGTGGTGGGGATGGTGATGACCTAGAGAACGTGCTTCATCTAAGGAGGCAGCTGCTACTCAATTTCAACCAGTTTTTATCCAAAAAACATTATGGGCCTGGTATTGCCAAATTGTCTGATATATATATATATATTTTAAGAAAATCTGGAAAGCTGGAATTTTACCCACTTTTAAAATGTTGGCACTGATTTAATGTATTTATAACATTGGGCAGGATAAACAAAAACACCAATGAATAAAACCTGATCTAAGGGTAGATAGTTTTTTAACCTCCAATTAATCAAAACTTCTTCTGGTTACTAATGTTAGATGTTAGACATCTCCTGATGGGTTGATCTGTACCCCTGATATCAACCTATAGGCAGGCTTAGTCTAAATAATTGTGCAAATAGGTAGGTATTAGAAATGAGGATACACCGCTCACTTTTCACAATAATTGTGTTTCAGTAGGCATGAGAACAAAGTTTTTAAGATCTGAAACTTAACTTCATTGATTCATCAACTGATTTTTTAAAAATTAGCTACTTAGCATGGCATTATTAAACATCAGATACCTAGGAATTAACCTAATAAAAGATGTGCCAGAATTCTACACCAAAAAATACAAAATGTTATTGAAAGATGTTGAAGAAATTGCATAGATTCAATGCAATGCCAATGAAAATCTCAGCAGGTATTTTAAAAAAAATTGTTTTAATTGGCAAACTACTCCTCAAATTCATATGGAAGCACAAAGTATCAAGAATGGACGTGGCTACCTTGAAACTGGAGGACATTTACTGTAGATTCTATGACCCACTATAAAGCTATAGTAATTAAGACAGTAAGGTTTAGGCAAGGATAGACAGATTGACCAATGGTACATAATAGAGTCCAGAAACAAACCCATACATATACAGTCCTCTAATTTATGACAAAAAGCAATACTGCAATGTAGCAGGAAATAGATATTCTTTCCAATAAATGAGTCAATTGGATATTATTACGAAAAAAATTATATCCTAGCCCCTACCATATTTATGTGTGTGTGAGTGGTGTGTGTGTGAGTGGTGTGTGTGTGTGTGTGTGTGTGTGTGTGTGTAGTACATATCTAAATGAGAAAGGTAAAACAATAAAAGTTTTGGTGAAGAACATCATTATGATTTGAAGAAGGCAAAGATTTCTTATTCTTAAGCAGGACATAAAATAACCAATTGTAAAAGAAAAAAATAATTAGACTGTATTAAAATGAAGAACCTTTGTTAATCAAAAGACTCTAATAAGAGACTGAAAAAGCAACCCACATAGTATATTTATATTATATATATTCATATTACTTGTATATAAGATATTCATAATATACATATCTGACAAAAGATTTGTATCCAGAACATATAAAGAACTTTTAAAAATAAAGAAGAAAAAGGCAGACAATGCAATAGAAAAATGGGGACAACCTTAACACCTTACAAGTGAGGAAATCCAAACAGCCAGTGAACATGTGAAGAGATACTCTAACTTCATTAGTCATCAGGGATATACGAATTAAAATGACAGTTGAGATGTCATTACACACCCACTAGAATGGCTAAAATGCTAAAAGAGGATGAGGAAGATGGGGAAGAATTGTTAAAGAGGGGGCGGGGGAAGAAAAAGAAAAATACCAAGTGTTGGAGAGGATACGGAGCAATTGGACTCTCATACCTTACTCAAAGAAGCATAAATTGGAACATTTATACCGTGAGCACTGGAAGTTTAACTGCTTTGGAAAGCTTTGGTAGTATCTACGAAAGCTGAACATACTGCATACACTTTAACCAAAATAATCCACTTTTAGGTGTATACCCAATACAGATTCAAACATATGTTTACGAAAGATGTACACTGTGATGTTCAAAGCAGTGTTCCGTATTAATTGCCCCACACTAGAAACTATCCATGTGCTCATCAACAATACTGGTCATACAAGTATCAAAGAGGCTGAGAGCTGAACAAAAATGAATGTGCACTGGTGACTTGAAGATCATTGGTGACCTTTGAGATAGCAGGTCCAACAGGATAGTGGAAGAAACGAGGTGAGGGTGCAAATCAATTACAAAGTGGGAGTGGGAGCCTTCAGTTTACATGGTGAGTGGAACAAGGGCATTAGTCTTCTTTTCCTTTTGAAACCCCAATATTGTAGTAAAGGATTCATGAAAAGTATGCTTCAAAGATGAGATGGGGGAGGGGGACGAGGGGAGCTACAGTAGACAAATGATGACGGTTTTGGAAACTAGATAAAGCTCAAGTGGTAACACACGTAGGGACTACAGATAGCCCGGATAGGTAGAGGACATCAGAAGTTAGCTGATTCATGCCACAAATTTATGTTGCAGAAACCTTGAAATACTCAATATTGGAAGCATCCAATTACCTCTGTAGCTGGAGATTCAGAATAGAGCTGGAAACAAGATTGGCTGAAGTCTTTGCAGAGGGCACTTCTCCTTCTCTAAGCAGAAGGCTAAAGGATTCCATACAAATCCACTAACTAAACAGTAACTCTCCCAGTCCCTGGTTTATACCCTCAGACAGGAGACTGGAAGATGTCTCCATGGAGAAACTAACTGGTTGAAAGGGAAGATCTATAGATAATAACATGTGGGAATTCTCCAGTGAAATGCCCGGGCCCTGCCTGATCACTAATAAAGCCTTCTGGTCGACTAGCCCTGTCCCTCCAGACAGAGCTTCCAGTTACGATGTTAGCATTTCATTTTTAAATGTAATCAGATAAAGATCACCAAACATTTGAGGAAAGCCTCTAATGTGATGGACACCAAAACAAACAGATAATCAAACACACGGAAACTCAAGAAACAGACGTGCACAGAGCAAAAGAAAAAGTATATACACTACAAGATCCTCAGAAAACTTGGAGAAGACATTGCATCCATGGAATAAGAAGAGGGGTCTTAAAAAGAATATTCAGCCCTGGCCGGTTTGGCTCAGCGGTTGGAGCATTGACCTGTGGTCGAGAGAGACCCGGGTTCGGTTTCCGCTAAGGGCACGTACCTCGGTTACAGTTTGGCCCCGGCCCTGGTTGGGTTGTGTGGGCACTCGATGTGTCCCTTTTGCGTCTATGTTTCTCTCTCTTTCTCTCTCTCTCTCTCTCTCTCTCTCTCTCTCTCTCTCTCTCTTCCTCTCTCTCCCTTCTACTCTATCTGAACAAAAAATGGAAAAATGTCCTTGGGTGAGGATAAAAAAAAGAGAATATTCAGAGAACAATAAAGTGTTCTTGGAAAGTAAAAATATGAGAACAGAACATGTTTAAAAATTAGGGGAAGGGGGGAGGACAGGAAGAGATAAATCAAAGAACTTATATGCATATATACATGAGCAATGGACATAGACAACAATACTATAAGGTGGGGGAGCGTAGGGGAGCAGGGAAAAGGGTATCAATGAGGGGCAAAGGAGAAACATGTGCAACAAAAATAAATAAAAAATCATGATACAAAAAAATAATAATAAAAAATCAAAGGAAGTGTTGATAGATAAAGGTGAAAAATCTCCAGGAAGTAGAAAAAAAGAAGACAGAGATAGGTAACAGGAGAGAAAAGATAAGAAAATTAGAGGATCCATCTGGGAAGGTAAATAATAGGAGTTCCAGAAAAAGCACAGAGAAAATGGAGAACACATAGAATACAAGAAAATTTCCTAGAATCAAAGGATCTAGTTCTCAGATTAAAAGAGCATGCCTAGTGTCTGGCATAATAATTTAATAAGGTTGATACCTTATTCAATAAAATTTCACCTAGTGTGAAGTTTTAGACACTAGGAAAATAGAGAAGAAATTTCTAAAAGTTTTTCAGGTCACATACGAAGAACCCGGAATCAGACTGGCATCAGACTTCTCAACAGGAACTTCAGAAACCAGAAGGAAATGAAGCAACACCATCAAAATACTAAATGAAAATTATTATATCTACCCAAAGCCAAATATAATCAAATGATGGATGAGGGTAGAATAAAGGCATTTTAGACATCCAAGGTTTCAAAAATTTTACCTTGCATGCATCCATTTCTTAGGAAGTTCCTGAAGGATGTGCTTCAACACACTGAGGAAAGAAACAACAACAAAAAAAGGAAGAAATGAGATCCAGGAAAGAGGACTCCAACACACGAGAAAGTGAAGGGAATTTCTAGAACGATGGTGAAGCAAAATCATATCCCACTAGAGATCGGAACAGGAGGAGAAACCACTCCTGGAGAGAGGTCTCTACCAAAGAAACAAAATCAATAGGTTACTTGATGGGTCTGAATATATTGAGAGGATATTTATACAGTAGTCCCCTCTTACCCATGGGGGATATGCTCCTAGACCCCAGTGGATGTCTAAAAGTGTGGATGGTATCCAACCCTTTATATACTATGTTTCACCTCGACCCCATACATACATACATAGATACATACACACATACATACACACACACACACACACATAGATACATACATACATACGTACATATCTTTTCACGGAAAGGAAGCACTTATGGCTTCTCTTTGGCATCCTTAAATTGCCAGCATCCCTACTTGTGTGTTGGGCCATCATTAATCAAAATAAGGGAAACTTGAACACAAACACTGGGGTACCACAACAGTCAATCTGATAGCCATAATGGCCACTAAGTGACGAATTGTAGTATAGAGTCTACAGTGTGCGCACACCGGACAAAGGGATGATTCCCATCCCAGGTGGGACAGGGCAAGAAGATGAAAGATTTCAGAACTGTGTGCAATTTAAAACTTATGATTTTTTCCCCCTGGAATTTTCCATTTATTTTCAGGCCTCAGTTGACCACAGGTAACTAAAACCATAGAAGCAAAACTGCAGATAAGGGGCACTGGTGTAGCTCTGTTAGAAACTTTGAAGAAAAATTAGTGATAAATATACAGAAAGCAAAGCAAATACAGTTATTAACCGCTCAAAAAAACAAAAAGTTGTACAAGGAAAGAAATTTATCATAACATACTACATAGTTCAGGTGTATATAACATTTACATGTTTGCAATCATACCAATAAGCATTAAATGATTACTTAACAAGACGGTGATACAACTATATTGGGAAGATGGAAGGAGCAGATGTATGTTGTAAAGGTTGTGTAAGAGCAAACATATCCTTACCTTTCATCATAGGACATAGACAGTATTCAAACAGACGATGAATCCACAGCAGTGTAAGCAAATGGCGGAAGAAATACTAAAAGTGTTTAGTGGCTGCTTCCAGAGAGTGGGAGTGGGCAGGGACTGGTCAGAGCATTGTAGTGCTTGTATACTACTTGACTTTTCAAGCAATATACATTTATATCTTTGATAAAATGAGAAGTTATTAAAAAAAAAAACAGTGGACATTGACGAATTAGAGCCAATGAGAGTGTAGAATGATCTTTGGATCAATTTGATGTTGAGTGTAAGAAGAAATATGTCCCTCCCCTCCCTCCCTAAGAAGTTCTAAGAAGAAAAGAACACAACTCAGGTAGTTTTGCAATAGTCTTCAAGCTTCTAACCCAAACATTGGCTGCACCGGGAGTCGATAGGCCCTGCCGTAACCTCTCTGTGTGCTTCAGAACAGAGACTTGAGGAAGTCAGATTCTGGAAGAAGGAGTTAGATGACAAACTCGAGCAGCTTGTGTATGTGACCGAAGATCTACTCACCTATCAGATCAGGCTGCAGAAAGCCCTGGAGAGCTTGAAAGAGCTCTTGCACATCACTCAGACGTGTCTGGAATACAGGTAGGAGGGAGGATTCCTCCGGTGAATCATCTGTTGTGAGAAACGAAATGCTGGGTCGTAAGAGCTGACTGTGCTGGGTGGTGGGTTAGAATGAGGCAAATGAGCGTGTGCTCTTTTGGAGCCTGAAATTATCTCGGCATGCCCGTGGTGCCGAGCCAGGGAAGGAGCACTAGACTGGGTTCCTGTCTAAACTCTCCTCTTGAGTAACTTAAATATAAGTTAGGTCTTGCTTTGGCTGTGGGTTATCAGAAAACCGCAAAATAACACTGAACTTAAACAAGACAGTTTCTCTCTCTCTCACATTTAAGGAGTCTGGAGGTAGCTCAGGGTTGGCATGGTGTTCCACGGTGTCAGGGACCCAGGCCTTTTCTATCTGTTGCTCCACTGCACATGGCGTCGCTCCCAAGGTTACCTGTTTAGTGTCGGCCCATGGACCAAAGGGTTACAGGTTCGATTCCTGGTCAAGGGTTTGTACCTGGGTTGCAAGTCTGATCCCTGGCCCTGGTCAGGGTCATATGGGAGGCAACCAATCAATGTGTCTCTCTCACATCGATGTTTCTCTCTCCTTCCCTCCCTCCCTCTTTTCCACTCTATCTAAAAAAAATCAATGGGAGAATATCCTCGAGTGAGGATTAACAACAAAAAACTGCAACCTCAAAACCTAGTACCTTTAAGATAAAGTTCAAACTTCTTAGCCTGGCAAACAGAGCTCATCACGACTGGGCCCACAGTGACCTCCCCAGGCCCGTACCTCATCCCCAACAACGGGATGTGCAGTGTCCCAAACACACCGTGGCTCTGTTCACAGTGTTCCCTCTTCCTGCAAAGCCCTCCCTCCAGGAGCTGAGCCAGGACCCTCTGCAGTAAGGACGCAGCGGCCTCCCCAGCCGATTTAGAGAGCTTGTGAAGCAAAGGGAAACTCTCCAGGAGCTCAAGTCCACACCTAAGGGTGATTAGAATGTGGATGTTGCTAAGCTGACTGTGTATGTGCTACCACGTGCCTGGTCCTGTGCTTTCTGCTTTTACTCTTATCAGTTCCTTACCACAATCTTATGAAGTACTAATTATTATCCCCATATCACAGAAGAGGAAACCGAGGCACAGATACATTATACAACGTGCCTAAGGCTGCAGAGCCGGTGAGTGGTGGGGCCTGCCTCCTAAGCACTATCGTGCAGGGTAGAAAAGAACAAAATATTAGGCAGTAGTAGGTCAGTTTCGGGAGTAGCAGCATGGTGGTAAAAAGCAGGTGTCATGCCCAGTTCTGTGACCTGGGCTTAACCTCTCCTAAACTTCGTTTCCTAGTTTCCTCACCTGTAGTTGAAAGGACTAAGTGAGTCCAGCCCGTGTGGCTCAGTGGTTGGGCGTTTACCCATGCACCAAGAGGTCTCCGGTTCGATTCCTGGTCAGGACACATGCTCAGATTGTAGGACCGATCCCCAGTGGGAGACGTGCAGGAGGCGGCCAATTGATGTTCTTTCTCATTGATGTTTCTCTCTCTCTCTCTCTCTCTCCCTCTTCCTTCCTCTCTCTCTAAAATCAATAAAGGAAAAAAAAATTTTTAAAAAAAGAAAGGGCTAAGTGAGAACATTCCTATGAAAAGCTCAGCACGCCCTGGCCAGTTTGGCTGAGCGGTTAGAGTGTCGGCCTGCGGTCCAGAGAGACCCAGGTTCGGTTCCTGCTAAGGGCACGTACCTCGGTTGCAGTTTGTTCCCGGCCCTGGTTGGGTTGTGCAGGTGGCAGCCACTAGATGTGTCCCTTTCACATCGATGTTTCTCTCTCTCTTCCTCTTTCTCCCTCCCACTCTATCTGAACAAAAAATGAAAAAATGTCCTCGGGCGAGGATTAAAAAAAAGCAAAGAAAAGCTCAGCACAACGCCTGTCACAAAGTAAGTGCTCAGTGGTGGGAGTAATATTAATATTGGTATTCTTATTATTATTATCATTATAAAGCACCTTTCTGGATTCAAATCCTTATCAAAAAATGGAAGTAGGATCAAGGAAGGAAACATGTTTTTCAAGTTCAAAGCCAAAGAAATGTTGCCACTAAATAGGTAAGAAGGAGGAGTCTTCAGAACTGCTGTCCACACTGAGGGGAAATGTCCACGTGGCATTTTCAGACCAAGGGTCCAGTCACTGATCAATTTTTCCTTCACTGCATTTTGCACTTCTTTCAAGGCTCAGAGGTGCCAGCTGGTGTTCATCCCCGACCACGTCATCCAGACAGATCGGGTGCTGCTCACAGCAGCTGCCAGGTGGTGGTATACGTCCAGGTGTTAGCGGCCACCACGCTGCCTCCCTGCACGCGTCAGGTGACCTGCCGCCTCTCTCTGGTCAGGGAGAAGCGCGTGGGCATCGACCTGGTGCATGATGAAGTGGAGGAGGAACTGATGAAGGAGGCTGAGATCATCCGGGGGGTGATGGCCCTGCTGACGCGCACCCTGGAGGAGACGACCGAGCAGATCCGGTATGGCTGTTCGGGGCCACCCCCCACCTCCACTGGGCGGATCTAGGACAGACAGCACCCATGAAGGCTGGGCTCCATGGCGGAACAAATGGGGTTTAATGCTCCTACCAGCACTTGCCCTGACCCGAGGAGGCTTGGGGAACATCAGAGCGAGGCCTGGACACCTCTCATTCCTGACAGTCACCCTCTCGTGGTGGGTGGGGCTGGGGCTGGATGTCAGCCCTGGTTATCAACAGAGGACCCTGGAGCTGTTTTTCTCTAGGGCTGACATCTCACATAGAGTATGCCACAGCGGTGACATCAGAAAAATGTCACCGTTGGAGAGAGGATGTGGAAGTCCAGGCTTGGTTACGCTAATTTGTCACCAAGCATCTAATGGCGTGTGTGTGTGTGGGGGGGGTGGAAGGTGGGCAGGAAGTGCCGCCATCCCTAGCTTTAGCTTCGTTTTCCAGGGTCTCCCAAGAAACCGTAGGTGCCATCTGGGCCTTCCAGGGGAAACCTTTACCTTCTCCATTCAGGCTGAACCGCTCTGCAAAGTACAACCTTGAAAAGGATCTGAAAGACAAGTTTGTGGCCCTGACCATTGATGACATCTGCTTCTCACTCAACAACAACACGCCCAACATCCGATATTCTGAGAACGTCGTGAGGATTGAACCGAAGTGAGTGGGTGCCTGGCGGCTGGCCTGGCCCGCTGTCCCCCTCCCTGCTGGGAAAGGTCCGGGCTTCTCAGACAGGCAGGCGGGCCCCCGCAGCAGGCTGGGGGCCAGGGAGGGGGGGCTTGGGGCAGAGGCAGGTGCTGGGAGGTGAGTCCCCCCAGAACAGGGCCAGAGGTTCTCTGCTCCTCCAGGTTAGGCCCCACGTTAAGAAAGTCTGATGTAAAATCTTTAAACATTTAAAATTTATTCTTTTACCTATTCATGTTTTTAACAAGTAAAATAACCTAAAAATGTATAAAGAGCAAATTAATAATTTTCCTCCATCCCTTGACGCTGTTACCCCAAACATACCACCATACCTGTATGTTCCTACATACACATGGATACACGCACACACACAACTTTTGTTTTGGTTACAAAAATGATACAATATGAATGTACCTTTTCTGTGACATCTAACTTATGTTTTTCAATTAACATTGTATCATACACCTAACTCATAATTTTTAAACCTTCTTTTTGAGGTAAAACATACATACAGAAAAATACGTAAGTAATAATAGCACACAGTTTAATGCATTATCCTTGTGCTCTCTTTTGCTGTATAACAAGTCACTCCAAAGCTTAGCAGGTTAAAATGACAAACATGTGACCCCTCGCAGTGTGTTGGGTCAGGAACCCAGGCTTAGTCCGCGCCTCTGGCTCCCGTCTCGCGAGGCTGTAGTCAGGCTGTCTGCTGGGCTGTGGTCTTATATGAAGTCTTGACGGGTTGGGGGTGGGGACCCACTCCCAGGCCGACTCGTGTGGTTATGGCAGGCCCGCCACGTGAGCCCTCCCTGCACAGCTCGCTCAGGACATGCTGCCTGGCGTCCCCCACACTGAGCGGTCCAGGAGGAAGCAAGGGAGAGAGTGCACCCAGGAGGAAGTCACAGTCAGCTTTTAACCTGACCCCAGAAATGACATCTTATCACTTCTGTTGGTGAGAAGTGAGTCAATGAGTTCATCCCACAACTCAAAGGGAGGGGATTATACAAGGGGATGAATGTCAGGAGGTGGAGTCATTGGGGGTCATCAGGGGTCATCTCAGAGGCTGCTGCTAACCACAGTGGACAACCCCCATGAAGCCACCAACCAGGTCAAGAAGTGGAACATTACCACTGCCCAGAAACCCCCATTGTATCCCCTCTTGATCAGTACCCCCCTTGCCTGCCCAAAGGTGATCACATTCCTGACTTCCAATAGGTTTGTCTGCTTTTACGATCATTAAATAGCATCATGTACTATCTATTTTGTGTGCGTCAGTTTTCTTCCAATCAACATTATTTTGAGATTCATCAGTGTTGTTATATAAAGCAGTTCTTTATCAAAGTAGCCATTTATTTATATCAGTGTGGAATCACGCTTCCCTGTTTTATTCAGTGTGTTATAATCTGTGACTATTATGATTTATTCTGATGCTCAAATTGTCTCTACCTGTGTGATCTTGACCAACATACTCCCTCTTTTTGAGCCTCAGTTCTCCTCATCTGTAAAGTGGGGGTTATGAAAGTTAGCTCACTAGGCCAGCATGAGGATTAAATGAGATGATGTCTGTAAAGCTCCAGCCCCCTGCTTGGCACAGAGTAGGTAGGTTTCCCCAAAGTGAGCGATGCCACTGACGGACCACTGCCTGGAGATGAGGAAACGTACGAGGTGCTTTTGGGGGTAAAGGTAGGGTTAGCTTCCAGGGGATTCCAGAAGCTCGTCCCCTCCCCTGACCCCTTCCCAGCTCAAGCCCTCTGCGAACGAGTGCCCGGTTCTGTTTCAGCTCTGTGAGTCTGGAAGACTGGTTGGACTTCTCCAACACCAACGTGGAGAAGGCTGACAAGCAGAGGAACAACTCTCTGACGCTGAAGGCCCTGGTGGACCGAGTCTTGTCCCAGACGGCCAGCGACCTGCGCAAGCAATGTGACGTGGTGAACACGGCATTCAAGAATGGGCTGAAGGAGACCAAGGACGCCAGGGACAAGCTGGCTGTTCATCTGGCCAAGGTGAGCTCTGCAGGGAACGTGGATGAGCACACTGAGCAGGTTTCGGCGTGGAGACCCAATGCCCTCTGGGCCAGGCCACTGCCTTCGGTGCTTGTGAGCTGGGTTCACTAAGGAGTAAGGGTCATTCACATCCCTCCATCTTAGCAGCAGGGTTTGGGTTTTGGGGTACGAGCAGGACTTGGCCCCACTCTGGGTCTTCTTAGTCACTCATTGCCGCGAAGAACAGGCTCTCTCCTCACTCTGGGCCTCAGTTTCTCCTTATGTGGAATGTGGAGATGGCCTATATGGTATCAGACATCATTTATAACTCTGAAGTTCCATGAGTTGAATGCAACCAATTTCTCCAAACCCAGCTGCAACTTCGAGATTCTGGCAGGTTGTCCCTCTCAGCTACCCAGTGCTGTGATGTACACTGGCTCTCAGAAAAATAAATACATAAATAAGTAAAGCCCTGGCTGATTTGGCTCAGGTAAGAGTGTCGGCTGCAGACCAGAGAGTCCCGGGCTCGGTTCCCACTAAGGGCACGTACCTCGGTTGCAGTTTGTCCCCGCCCTGGTTGGGGTCGTGTGGATGGCAACCACTCAATGTGTCTCTCTCACATCGATGTGTCTCTCTAAAAATAAATAAATAAATAAATATGTAAGTAAAGTCCCTGATTTGTAGAATTTGCAGGTTTCCATGGTGTAAATACATTTATTATGGTTGATTTCAAGCTACCCATTTGACAGTGGTCTGGCAAAGTTCCTGAATACTTAGCCACCAGAGCCCACGTGAGCCCGTCCCAGTATACCTCCCTTACCCACAGGGACCCCTGGATCCTGAGCATGTCTGACCATCCCACAGGCTAACCTCAGGGACACTGAGACGTGGAGTCTAATGGAACAAGTGCTGGATTTGGATATGTGGGCCCAAATCAGTCCAGTGACAGGCCAGCTGAGTGACTCATGCAGATCCCTCATGTTCTCTCAGCATCGTGCCTTACCTGTGACATGGCGACAGGAACCCAGCTCTTGTATTTTACTAGTGAGACACAGAGAGTGGAGGGGCCCCGGGTGTCAAGGGGCATTGCGGGAGCCTGGAACCAGAGCCCAGGCCCACTCACATCCCAAAGCCTGGCCTCCTGGGACCCAGAGTCTAGCTGTCAGACAGGATTTGTTTATGTGACGAGCAGGACAAGCCGGAGTGTAAGCAAAGGTTATTCTGTGGGCGTCTTTCCTATCGAAACCTATTGCAAATGTTCACCTGTGAACGCTGATCTGTAATGAGACTTTATATATTTCATCTTTGAAAATGTCTTCTCATTCAAATGGGTACTGCCAGGAACCGATAGCCATCTGTGAGCACATAAATTTAGTTGAATGCACTCATCGCTTGAAGGCATTTGTAGAATTCTGTTTAGTTTCTTCTCCTGATCCTGGCCGGTTAGCATGTCACTGCATTTCAGATTAATCACTTGCTGTTGAAGGGTAGGTAGAAGCTCCTCAACTGCCCAGTTAAGTGGATTTTGAAACATGGAAATTTCCTTTGCGCTTGCTTTGAGGTCCCCCCCTCCCAAAAAACAAAACAAACAAAACAAAAAAACAAACACTGCTGGAACTGGGAAAATATAGCTGCTGCACATCTGTGTGGGGATGGAGGACTTACTTCTTGTTTTAATTTTAAAAAAAATTTTTAATAGATTTTAGAGAGAGAGGAAGGGAGAGAGAGAGAGAGTTAGAAACATTGATGAGAGAGAACATCAATTGGCCGCCTTTTGCATAACCCCAAACCTGGGCATGTGCCCTGACCGGGAATCAAACTGGTGCCCTCTTGGTGCAGGGGTCGACGCTCAACCACTGAGCACACCGGCTGGGCGAGGTTGATTCTCTAGTCACTTTAAACTCAGCTCTGATTCCTTGAATAAGCAACTGAGCAGCACAGAACCCCAGCCCACATGTGAAAAGCAAAGGAAAACCTTCTAAAATCATGTCTTGTTTTTTAATTGGCTATGGATGTTGTTCCCGATGTCCTGAACTCTTCAAGCAGCTTTTTTTGCAGAAAGACTAATAGTCTAGAACAATTGTATGTTCTCTGGACCCCCTTCCTCAGCTGCTGCAATCAAACATATTTTAAGTAACTCGCTATCGGTAAATGGCTTTCCTTGCTTAGCTAACAAATGAGACACTTGAAACCTTACTTTGATTGCAGCCTCGTTTTCATCTTTGTGAAGGAATTCTGCAGTGATGTAGTATGCTGTTCAAATTTCTAATTTTTCTAGTCATCGCTTTCCTGTGAGTTGAGACCATCGTGAGGATACGCAGTCTGGTAATGACGTATGTCGCATTCTCTCAGCACAGCATGGTGTTGTTGTGTGATACACACAGTGCTTTGCTGTCTAATTAACAACATCTACACTTCACTGTGCCTCAAAAGTGCAAAACACGAAGTCCGCTTTTCTTGTTTTAACCATGGGTATGTGCTGGTGGTAAAAAATAAATGAGACATCCCTGCCTAGTGATACACTTAGTGCTCGGGAAGCCGTCGCGTTGTAACTGTGTCACTGGGATCTGTGGCTCAGCGGTTGAGTGTCGACCCAGGCACCAGGAGGTAGCCAGTCGATTCCTGGTCAGGACACATGCCCAGGTTGTAGGCCTGGTAGGGGGCATGCAGGAGGCAGCCAATCAATGTTCTCTCTCATCGATGTTTCTCTCTCTCTCTCCCTCTCCTTTCCTCTCTCTCTAAAATCAATAAAGAAAAAAATAAAATAAAATAAAAGCAGCAAGATATAGCTCGGCCAGTGTGGCTCAGTGGTTGAGCGTCGGACACATGCACCAAGAGGTCACCGGTTTGATTCCCAGTCAGGGCACATGCCCAGATTGTGAGCCTGATCCCCAGTGCAGGGCATGCAGGAGGCAGCCAATCAATGTTCTCTCTAATCGATGTTTCTATCTCTCTCTCTCCCTCTCCTTCTCTCTAAAATAAATAAAGAAAAAGAATTTTTAAAAAAATCTTTAAAAGCAGCCAGATATAAACGAATGAGCATTGCTGTGTTCCTATAAAACTTTATTATGGACACCAATATTTGAATTTTGTTTGTTTGTTTGTTTGTTTTTTATCCTCACCCGAGGATATTTTCCATTTTTTTGTACAGATAGAGTGAGAGGGAGAGAGAGAGGAAGGGAGAGAGAGAGAAACATCGACGTGAAGGGACACATCGAGTGGCTGCCACCCGCACAACCAACCAGGGCCGGGGACAAACTGCAACCGAGGTACGTGCCCTTAGCGGGAACCGAACCCGGGTCTCTCCAGACCGCAAGCCGACGCTCTAACCACTGAGCCAAACCGGCCAGGGCCCAATATTTGAATTTTACATAGTTTTCAGATGACATGAAATATTTTTTTTTCAACTATTTAAAAATGTAAAAACCTTTTTAAAAAAAATCTTTATTGTTGAATGTAGAATGTATTACATATGTTCCTCATTTTTTCCCCCATTGAACCCCCCTCCCGCCTTTTCCCACACTGTTGTCTGTGTCCACTGGTTATGCATATAAGTTCTTTGGTTTATTTCTTCCCACCCCTCAACCTCTTTCCCTTTGAGGTTTGTCAGTCTAGCAATGAATTTGTACTTCTTAATCCCTTCACTTTTTTCACCCATTCCCCCAACCCCACTCCCATCTGGCAACCAACAAAATGTTCTCTGTATCTATGAGAATGTTTCTGTTCTGCCAGTTCATTTTGTCTGTAGAATCCATTGTTGATAGGTATGTATTCATTGCCATTTTGTTTGTTCATATATTTTATCTTTTTCTTCAAAAAGGCCCTTCATCATTTCATACAATAACGGTTTGGTGGTGATGAACTCCTTTAATTTTTTCTTGTCTGGGAAAGTCTTTATATGGCTATCGATTCTAAATGACAGCTTTGCAGGATAGAGTAATCTTGGTTGTAGGTTCTTGCTTTTCATCACTCTGAATATTTCTTGCCACTCCCTTCTGGCCTGCAAAGTTTCTTTTGAGAAATCAGCTGACAGCCTTATGGGAACTCCCTTGTAGGTAACTAGCTGCCTTTCTCTTGCTGCTTTTAAGATTCTCTCTTTGTCTTGAACCTTTTGCATTTTGATGATGATGTGTCTTGGTGTGGGCCTCTTGGGGTTCATTTTGTGTGGGACTGTGTTTCTTGGACTTGTATGTCTGTTTCCTTCACCAAGTTAGGAAAGTTTTCTGCCATTATTGTTTCAAATAGGTTTTCGATTTCTTGTTCTCGCTCTTGTTCTCCTTCTGGCACCCCCAAGATGCGAATGTTGGCACGCTTGATGTCGTCCCAGAGGCTCCTTACACTCTCCTCATTTTTTTGGATTCTTTTTTCTTTTTGCTGTTCTGATGGGGCATTTTTTGCTTCCTTATATTCCAAATTGATGGTGTGTTTCTTGGATTTACGTACTCTACTATTAAATCTGTGTAAATTATTCTTTATTTCAGTTAATGCCTCCTTCATTTCTGACTGGTCCTTTTTTATGCTCTTGAGGCCCTCACTAAGTTCACTGAGGTTCTCACTAAGTTCATTGAGCATCCTTATAAGCAGTATTTTGAACTCAGCATCTGTTAGGTTGCTTATCTACATTTCACTTAGTTCTCTTGGGGTTTTGTTCTGTTCTTTCTTTTGGGACCTGTTTCTTTGTCTCCTCATTTTGGCTGCCTCCCTGTTTGTTTCAGTGTATTACTTAATGAGTGGTATGGGGCTAGCTGAGACCAGATGCTGCTTGTTTGAAAGAATTTAGGAAAACCTGAAGCAGGATCCAAGACAGGCCCATTTTATGGTTAAGCAAGTGGCAACAGCTTGGGTGGGCCTAAAAGTTGGGTGGGGCGGGGCCTCAGGGAGTGAGCAGGGCGGGGCTACCAGTGTGAGCCAGGTTGCTGGAGTCCCAGATATGGCTTCTGTCTGCCGCCCCAGGGAAGGACTCACCAAAGGAACAAAGGCCTCTGACAGCACGTTTGTCCCGGAGAAAGCCCCCTCTCCAGCCCTCGCTCCAATGCCAAACAGCTCAGTTCTTCCCTGTGTGTCTCTGGCGCCCCTCGAGCTGCCTCCCCTCCAAGCTTAGAGGGAGAGAGTCCGATAAATTCGTGCGCGGGCCCTTTAAGGAGCTGCCTGGGGCTCCAGCCTCTTCAGCCTCCCTGAGCCTCAGTTCCTGCTGGTTTTTCCAGCCAGAAGTTATGGGGATTCTCTTCCTGGCACTGGAACCCTGAGTGGGGCACCTGGTGTGGGACGGGGACCCCCCAGTCCTCAGGAAGGACCTTCCCAGTCGAGTTGTCCTCCTGATTTTTATCCCCACACGTGGGTGTGGGACCAGCCCGTCCGCCGCCGCCCCTCCTACCAGTCTGGATGTGGCTGCTGCTTTAATTCCGTAGTTGTAGGACTTCCATTCAGCTGATGTCAGGCGGTTTTGAATGATGGTTGTTCTGTAGTTTAGTTGTAACTTTGATGTGGTTGTGGGAGGACATGATACCGCGTTTACCTACCCGCCATCTTGACCGGAAGCTTAAAAAATGTAAAAACCTTTTTAAAAAAAGGAGAATAAAAAGACAAGCCACTGTTATTCAAAACACACAAAGAACTCTTAAAACTCAGCAGTAAGAAAACAAACAGCCCAATGAAAAAAACGGGTAAAAGATCCAGACCGACACCTCACCAAAGAAGATATACAGATGGTAACTAAGCTTATGAAAAGATGCTCAACATTTTGTGTCATTAGGATTGCAAATTAAAACAACAAGATACCCTTGCACACCTACTGAAAATCCCAAACATCGACAATGCTAAGCGCTGGCGAGGATGTGGAGCAGTAGGAACTCATTCATTGTTGGTGGGAATGCAAAACGGTACAGCCACTTTGGAAAACAGTTTGCAGTTTCTTACAAAACTAAACCTACGCATGTAATTCAGCAAACTCACTCCTTGGTATTTACCCAAATGTGTTGAAAACTTATATCCACACAAAAATCTGCGTGTGAACATTGAGTAGCTTTATTCATAATTGTTAAAGCTTGGGAGCAACCAGATGTCCTTTGATAGTTGGATGCATCAATAAACTGTGCTACAAAATTTGTAAAATTTAAGAGTATTTGTAAAATTTAAGAGAATTTTGCCTGTTTTTCAAAAAGTATAACAAAATGTGTAATTAAATAATTTAGCCTTATGATTTTATTTGAAATTTTAAGTTTGAAGACTTAAAATATTTGAGAATTTAAGATTAATCATTTTTACTAGTTTACTAGATTGACGAGGTCTTTGAAGAATCTCAGAAAGCCTTGTTTGTTGAGAAACTCAAGTAGCTTTTAAGTTTTATATCAGACGAGATCAGGTGCATTCAGGGTGGGTGGTATGGACTAAAAGTTTTATATCCAATTTATAAATACTATATGTAACAGATCAAATTTTTAAAAACTGCTTTAAGTAAATGTTCAAAGGATTTTAACTAAGCTTGAAGTGGGAGCAACTAGTAAATTAAATCATTGTAAAGTGATTGTTAACATTTGCCAAATTTAAAAACTGTATACTATCTGTGAACTGAACTGAAGAAAAACTTAAGAAATGTTCAGAAAAGTCTTAAGAAAACCAAATGCAATGTATGGACTTCATTCTAAATTTGACTAAACCAATTATTACCAAAAAATGTGGGATAAAGGTAGTGTAGTCATGTTAAAAGACAATAAACGCATCCTTATATCTCAGATACATAATCATGTTTTTAAGACTGAAACAAGCCCTGGCCAGTTTGGCTCAGCGGTTAGAGCGGCGGCCTGCGGTCTGGAGAGACCCGGGTTCAGTTCCCCTTAAGGGCATGTACCTCAGTTGCAGTTTGTCCCCAGCCCTGGATGGGGTCATGTGGGTGGCAACCACTCGATGTGTCCCTTTCACATCAATGTTTCTCTCTCTTTCTCTCTCTCTCTCTCACCACTCTAGCTGAACAAAAAACAAACAAACAAACAAAAATGTCCTCAGGTGAGGATGAAAAAAAAAAGACTGAAACGATATAATATTTGAGGTTTGCTTTAAAATAAACTGTTGGGCCCTGGCCAGTTTGGCTCAGCGGTTAGAGTGTGGGCCCGCAGACCAGAGAGTCCGGGGTTCAGTTCCCACTAAGGGCATGTACCTGGGTTGTGGATCGTCCCCAGCCCTGGTTGGGGTCGTGCAGGTGGCAACCAGTCGAGGTGTCTCTCTCACATCGATGTTTCTCTCTCTCTCTTCCTCCCACTCTCCCTCCTGCTCTCTCCGAAAACAAATGCAAAAATGTCCTCCGGTGAGGATTAAATAAATAAATAAATAAAATAAGCTGCTGGGCAGAGGTAGGGAGAGGGGGTTATAGAAGAAACAAGATTGGCCAAGGGGATCATTGCTTAAATTGACAATGAGTACATGAGGCTCATTATACCAGCTACTTTTGTGTATGTTTAGACATTTTCATGATGTAAAGGTTTTTGTTTGTTTGTTTGTTTGTTTGTTTTTTAAAGTTTAAGAAAGCCCTGGCTAGTTTGGCTCAGCAGTTAGAGCATCAGCCTGCGGACCGAAGGGTCGCAGGTTCGATTCTGCTCAAGGGCATGTACCTGGGTTGCAGGTGTGATCCCCAGTTTTCATCAGGATCATGCGGGAGGTAACAACTAATCGATGTGTCTCTCTCACATTGATGTTTCTTGCTCTCTCTCCTCCCTCCCTTCCACTCTGTCTAAAAAATTAATGGAAAAATATCCTCGGGTGAGGATTAACAACAAAAAGTGTCAGGAAGAAACAAACTAGTTAAATATCCATCTAAAAACCCAAGTAACTTCTAAGTAATCTTTTCTGTGTACGAAGCCACCTTCAAAGAAACCAGCAAAACTCAACTGAACTGCTCACACTCTTTCTTCAGGCTTCTAGGGAGCAGAATGGGTGCTAGTGGGTGAATGATACGGAAACGGGAGTCTCTCTGCTCATGATACTTGGTATTTAGTACCAGGATGAACAGGCAGCCTCCAGCCTTTGCTGAGGGCATTCTCCGGGAATTCCCATTATTTGGGAAGGAGATGAGGAAACAGTGGGCACTCACGTCCATTCCATGTGTGAGGCTCTAAGGTCAGGTGACTTGCCTTGCCCACCAGCAATCACTCGTGGAGGGAAGAGAGATCAGACTCATTCTGGGGCCCTGCTTGGGTAGAAATCTGAGGTTCCCTCTTCCTAGTTTACGTGATCCCAAGAGACGTCCTAAGAGTGACTGCTGTTGAGTTTGAGGAGCCCCATCTGGTCTCACCTACTCTAATCCTTTTTGTAAGGTCATGGAGGAGATTGCTTCCCAGGAGAAAAATATAACATTTCTTGAAAAAGCCATCCTTGACCAAGAAGGTCCTGCCAAGGTGGCTCATACACGCCTGGAGGCCAGGACATGTCGACCGAACGTGGAGCTGTGTCGGGACTCGGCCCAGGACAGGCTGATCAAGGAGGTTCATGGGATCACCCACAGCATTGCAAGGTAGGCTGGCAGCTGGGAACTGGAGGGCCTCCAGGTTCCCACCCAAACCCGGACTATGAACAGGGCTGGGCAATACCACGTGGGTGCAGCCTGCCTGGCATGAGCACTGTTGCATTTATCATGTTTGAGGGGTTCTTTTCTGGAGGGCAGTCAAGGGATTCCTGGTTAACTCCAGCCAATGGCTGCCATGCAGGAAATGGATACCAGGGTTTGAATTGTTCGAAAGAAGTCCAAATCCAGATGTTTGGGTAAAATGTACAGTTTTAGAAGTTTTAGAAGTTCATGGAGTTGTCTATCTTGTGAACCTGGCCCGTGGTCACCCATCTGAGACCTCTGTCTTGAGGAGGAGGCAGGGAGAAGGACACATCAATTGGACTTCTGCACTGGATGCACAAATACATCCCCCCCCGAAAAGCGATGTAGGGTGATAAATGATTTCCTTATGTTCTTCCTCTTCTCCTAGATTAAAGGAGACGTTAGCCCAGGCCCAGGTGGAGCTGAAAGGGCTGAATCGCAGACAGCTCGCCCTGCAGGAGGAGATCCAGGTCAAAGAGAACACCATCTACATTGACGAAGTGCTGTGTGTGCACATGAGGGAGTCCATCCCGCCGCGGGATGGGGGCGACCTCGGGCAGTGGGCGGGGGGCCTCCGCCCCGATGCTGTCTGCTAGCAGAAGGGACAGTTAGATGCTCATTAAACCCTATCGTAGCACAGTAGCACTGAACTCTCATTTCAGGTAGGCAGCACCTGCAGTCAGCCCCGGGCCTGGATTCCAGCCTGCATGGGAGCTGAGATTTGGGTGCAAAGGTCCATGCTGCTGGTACTGCTGGGGTGGTGGTGGTTTCACAGTTAATTTAAGAGTTAAATTAGCACAGGCCATTCTGATCATATCTCAGGACTGGGGGCCCAGGGAGAGGGGTCCAAATTCATTTCGATTCAGTAGTTGGGCGGGACCAGACTATGCCCATCTTCCTCAGGAGAGGGGATGTAAGCATCTCTCTTGGCTCTCAAGATTCTTTTCCCCTGAAGACAAGGTGACGGCCGACTTGGACCCTGGCCGGTTCCCAGGAAGCCTGTTCAAGTCGTCTAGAACACAGATGAGAGAGGAGCGGCCCTGGGTCAGGAATCCCGAAAGCCTCCGCACACCTGTAGGTGGCTCTCTGGGCCTCTTTCTTCTGGCAGAAGTGAAGGGGACAGCACAGGGCACAGGGCCCACCAGGTCTTAGAAAGTCATTCTGGTTGTGGGGCTTGAGGAGTGGGGGGCCAGGATGCTGCTGTGTGGGGCCAGGGGAGGGCCGAGGGTGGGGGAATGTCTCTGGTTAACAGACTGGGGGCCGAAGGGCACCCGTGGACCCGTGTGTCAGCTGTGGGGTGGGTGGCTCCGGCAGGAGGCTCTGAGTGACACTGGGAAGGCTGGAGGTGTCAGGACTGCCGGGCAGGGGTGGCAGTGGCTTTTGGAGGGCGCTCGGCATGTGTTCAGCTCCCGGGGACGGTAGTCGCAGGAACGCCAGCTTGGGAAAGGAGGAGGCAAGTCCCTGGACTGCACGGGGAGGAGCATGTCCTCCGGCGCCACTGCGCTGAGAGGGTGTCCGCATTTTGTATTCTTCCTGAATGTGAACCGAGTGTGAGTTTAGTGTTGGTTTCCAGAGCAGTTCATAATCATTTGGAATACTTTTTTCCCTTTGTACTCAAGAAACAGTAAAGGAAAGGGAAAAAACATTATTTCCGTTCCTGGTCTAGATTCAAATCAGGTGGCTAAGAGTGCAGGTTTTGTTTTTGTTTTAAATTTTTTCTTCCTTTATTGATTTTAGAGAGAGGAAGGGAAAGGGAGAGAGACAGAAACATCGATGAGAGAGAACATCGATTGGCTGCCTCCTGCATGCCCCCCACTGGGGATCGGGCCCACAACCTGGGCATATGCCCTGACTGGGAATCAAACCGAACACCTCTTGGTGCATGGGCCGACGCTCAACCACCGAGCCACACCGGCCAGACAGAGTGCAGGTTTTGAGGTCAGAATTACCTGAGTTCAAGTTCTCCCGTAGTCCTTCCATAGCGTCGCAGGGGTACTGCGAGCGGTAACGTATGTGAAGGGCTCCACACAGAGCCCGAACCCCGGGGAAGCGCGTCTTCAGTAAATAGGGGCTGCTTTTAACGGTCCTCACCTCCACGCCGCATGATCTGCACAGCTGTTCTCGTGGCGTGGGCTCGATTCCACTCATTTGTTTCCTCCTTAATTGTACATTGCAAGTAGTTTTTCATGTTGCTGTATCATCTTTATAATTATTTTAATGGTTACATACATCTTTAAAATTTTTTTTCCACTGAGACCATTTCCATATACCTACTGTGTGTGTGTGTGTGTGTGTGTGTGTGTTTTCCCAAAGAGAGTTCTGCCTATACCTGGCTGCCTTCTGCTGAGTCACAGCAGCTCAAATACATCTGGGTGACTGTCATAGGAAGGCCTTTGCTGTGGGAAACTGCTCATTCATTCATTCATTCATTCATTCATTCATTCTAACATCGGAGGAGCATCTTCTAAGTATGGGACTCACCATCTCAGCACCTTCCATGCATGGAGCTGCTTCCACACTCTGGGCTAACATTTAGTCCCTTAAAGCTTATTGGACTCCACTTGGCGTTGGGTAGAGCACCGGTGGCCTTGGGTCAGCTGACCTGGGTCTAGTTCCTACACTGCCAGGAAAGTCCCTTCCCCCCTTAAGGCTACCTGTAAAGTGCTCTAGAGGAGTGGCCCAGAGCCCTCCCCACCTTTGACGTTTCCTGTGTGGTGTCTTGGGGCACAAAGGCACAAAGACAGTGCAGGGTGTGGGCCCGACTCCCAGGAGGTTTCCAGTTGGAGTGTTCCTCGGTCCGGAGGGTCTTTGCTGTCAGCCAAGGCTGTTCCTAACCTGGGATGCAAAACCTTCACTGAGGCCACGAGCATCAACTTCATGACGATCTGTGCCGTGACCTGCCCGCTCGGGTTCGAAACGTCACCTTTCAGGAGCCAAGCAAATATGCAGCCCTCCCCACGTCCCCTCTGCCCTTGGGAAGTCCCCGGGGGCTTTTCTGCTCTAGCTTGGAAGGGTCCAAGCTTAGAGGGCAGACCTCCAAGTTTGTGGTAACTTCACAGGATTAGGAGGCCCATCCCAAACGGTGTGACAAGTGGGGTGAGAAGACTTTGGGGAGAACCCTTTCTTGTTACAACAGCTCTGAGAGGCGAGCAGGCTCAGTGGTGCTTTAAGGTCACAGGCTCCACAGTGAGACCTGGCTCAGCTCAGCTCCGTCGTCTACGCGGGGTGTGGTCCAGGACGAGTCATCCAACCCCCTCGAACGTCAGTTGCCCCCATTTCAGGAGGAATCAGAACAACCTGGTCAGGCTTAAAGCGTCTTCAGAATGTGCCCGAACATTCTACCATTTAAAACATTTCTGTCAGCCCTGGCTGGTTTGCTCAGTGGTTAGAGCGCCAGCCTGTGGTCCAGAGAGACCCGGGTTCGGTTCCCGCTGAGGGCACGTACTTCGGTTGCGGTTTGTCCCCGGCCCCGGTTGGGTCGTGCGGGTGGCAGCCGCTCGATGTGTCCCTTTCACGTTGATGTTTCCCTCTCTCCCTCCCTCCCACTCTATCTGAACAAAAAGTGGGAACATGTCTTTGGGTGAGGATAAAAAACAAAAAAACATTTCCATCAACAAACATTTATTGAGAACTTACTAGGCATTCAATACAGTATTCCGCACCAAAGACAGAGACTAGTATCAGTGTCGGGAGGATCCCACAGTCTAAGGCAAATAGACATTGGATAAACACAGGAATGGAAACTGGAACAACTATCTTGGAAAACAATTGGATAATATTTCATGAACACCTACAGGTGTCAGGCCCTTGAGATACTTCAACATGTTTGATTTTCACAAGTACCCTGAAATGCAGACGATAACCCCATTTTAAGGGGTAAGAACATTAAGATGATGTTTAAGCATCTTGCCCAAAGCTATTCTGCAGAGGGATGGAGTGGTGGGGGGGAGTGAAGACTGGAATCAAAATCCACTGGATGCTAAATATCATGGATTCTATCGACTTAATCGGTTAAGTCTATTGGATAAGATAAAGATGCAAGATTTATCAACAGTTAACCTCTTGCCCCAGGTGAGTTTATCGGCTCCTTCCAGACCACTGATCCCATCAGGAATTAGACAGACAACGAGAAAGTTGAGAGAGCTTCAGCTGAAGAGCGTCTGGAGAAGGCCAGCTGGGGTGTGTGGGGCACTGAGCATCTTGGCATTGATATAATCTCATGTGGCCGGCAGGGCCAGGTAGGTATCAAAAGTGAGAGAGAAAAAAAACATTTTAAAATTCTTTATCATTTAATAGGGAGTCATTTAATCTTCTTTATACAGAACCAAAGTTGAGTTTGCTTGAAATCCACATAATGAGAAGGAGCACAGGTTCAAAGTTTTACCTCTTCGGTGGTTTCGGTTTCGTTTGCAGCACTCAGCGGGAATCCTTCCAGTGGCACGGAATTCAGCACTTCGGGGAAGTGTCAGGAAGGCTGGCCTTCCCCTAGTGACCCATCTCTGTTCCACGATTCGCTGACTGCACCTGCCCTCCCCCAGACAGCAGTCCCATCATCTCTCCCCCCACCACCGCTCTGGCCTGATCTGGCGGTGCCAGGGTTGGGTTCACTAAAGTCAGAGCCACCCGCCCAAGGGACCAGGCTTGTATTTGGGTAACAGTAATGACCAGAGTTCTAGCATCCTACTGGTGACGAGCATAGGCACGCAAAGCTACAAAACCTCCAAGAAATGGCTAGGAAGTCAGATTGAATTTTGAGTTCCCTGGCATACAAAACAAAGTACCTAGTCCCGAGTCAAGCTCACCAAGGGTGAGTGAGGACCCTGTGGTGGGGAGAAAGGCCTGTCTGTACCCAGAAAGCTGGGAGAAACCCGGAGAGGCTGTGTATGTATGAAACTTGAAAGCCATGGGGTAGGGTAAGACCCAAGCCCTGGGAAACACAGGTACTTCCAGACTGAGTGAGGAGGAGCCCCACAAGCAGACTAAGAGGGAACATCGAGGGGCTGGAGGAAGCCAGGAGAGCATGGTGTCACTTAGGCCAACGTCGAAGAGCGTTTCAAGGCACTGGGGGTCAGTGGGCCAAATACTCCAGAGCATCCGCTAAGACAGGAAAAGTACCCTCTAGATTGGACAATTAAGTAATCTCCAGCACACTTTGCCAAAAGCAATTTCTTTTTTCTTTCCTTTTTTTTTTTTTTTAAACTCATCTTTATTGTTGAATGTATCACAGATGTTTCTCCCTTTTTTCCCCCTTGACCCCCTCCTCCTCAATCCCGCCCCCCTCCTGCCTTCCCCACACTATTGTCTGTGTCCATTGGCTATGCACATATGCATAGAAGTTCTTTGGTTTATCTCATCCCGCCCTTCCTCCCTGCTTCCCTTTGAGGTTCATTAGTCTAACAACCAATTTGTACTTACTTCATCTTTTTCACCTGTCCCTCCCAGCCCCCACCCATCTGGCAAGCAACAAAAAGTTCTCTATCTATGAGTCTGTTTCTGTTCTGCTTGCTCATTTTGTTTGTAGATTCAATTGTTGATAGATATGTATTAATTGCCATTTTATTGTTCATATTTTTGTTCTTCTTCGCCTTCAAGAAGACCCTTCAACATTTCATAAACACTGCTTTGGTGG